CCTGTAAGATCAGCATTAGTATAAATCCAAATTTATAGAGGGGGAGGGAGGGGAGGGCTGGCTCAGCATCAGAACCCCACCTCCCTCCCCAGCAACCCTGCAGTGTCCAAACCACTTCCTCCTTTCACTCAAAGGGCCCAGAAAAACTGAAGTGATCCAACCAAGGCCACAGAGACAGCAAGAGTTAGTGGCCAGGTAAAGGCCTGGTCCACCTGTAGGCACAGTGTGCTATTTTTCCATAGCTAGCTTGGAGTTGGTTCTTTGTTGCTCTCTGCAACTGGAGAGGGTAAAAGCTTACTGTGTAGTTTTGTGTGCACAGCGCCTTAGGGAGCTAGCCTGACTCTTTCTCCCAGGCCTTCTGTCCCCCTTCCCACCCCAGCTTCTCCTGCCCTCTGCTCCTCCCCAGCAAAGAGGAGCAGGGTATCCAGGCCTGCCGGAGTCTCAGCTTGCACAGCTGGTAATTAGCCCTTTGTGTCCAGCTAAGCACCTTTCATCTGCCCCACCTGCTGGTGTCTGCTTTCCCCATTAGCATCTCCCAGCTCCTTGCTGAGCCCTCCACCCTCTCTGCGGCCAGATCATCTTGTTTGTCAGAGATGATGGCTGGGCAGTGCACAGACAGGGAAGGGCCACAAAGACTTGACTTGCTCACATTTTCCGTAGTGGATGCCAGGTGACTCTTTCTTATCCCCACCCCAGAGGCAGCTAGGTTCAGATCACCTGGCTCAAAGGCAGACAGCTGATAGCTAAGCCTCCAAATTTCAGGCCTTTGGAGGCCTAGTTTTGTCTTTTGGTTCCTATCTGTTCATGATATGGGAGCTGGCTCACTAGCAACTCCCTAGCCTGAGCACAAAGGCTGCTGATGAGTTTATGGTCTCTAGAAACCTGGCCTCCGGCCCATAACTCTCTGTTCTGAGGTTGCTCATATTGGTCAGCCAGTCCAATAGCTTCAGTCTCCCTGAAAATCCTGTTTTCATTGTTCTCATAATTAATTATGTAGCTTGAGTACAGTAGCTGTTTCAGTTTTTATTAAATTTATGTTTATTTAAATCACATGTAAAATTTGACCATCTTTCAAGGGCTCGGTTAGCTACCATGACAAGTGGCCACGGTACCGGACAGCACAGGAAACATTTTCATTACAGCAGAGCTAGCCCTCACACCCAGAAACTCCAGTATGTTGGCATCTAAATCACACTATACAGACCTAGACCATTCTGAAGCTCCCTCTACCTTTCCATGGAATCATCTCAAGTTCCCAAATTGTCAGGATCCATGGTGATGAGAGCCTACTTGGCAACGGGCACCACTACCAAGGTGTCCTCCTGTGAAATTCAGTCACAAAGGCTGGACACATGCTGCTCATGTAGAATCCAAGATGTTCTTGGGCATGTGTGATTGACAAGATTCTATTCCATTTGTGGAGGTGGGGACTTGGTGTTCATTAGTTCTGTCCATGTCATCATCCTGGGCGTCCCCCGTGTGACAGCTTGTTGTGGAAGGTAGTGATGGCAGAGACAGGGAAGGGATAGGGCTGAAGAAAACACAGTTGGCTGCTGGATGTTTCTGAACTTGCCCTGCTTAGGATGAGGGTAGGAGATACCCAAGGTAGTAGGCTACCTCCTGAAGAGCCTTTACTGTAGAGGGATTTTCCTGTTTGTTCGTTTGTTTGTTTGTTTGTTTGTTTGCAGCTCTGAGAGAAGATGGGGCTCATTGAACTTGAAGGTTTAACCAGAAGCAGTGTTTCTGAACAGGGCATTTCTTTGTTCTTTGCCAGGTTCTGCTGGGCAGCCCAGCGTGCAGCACTGTCTGCCTGCCACCCCAGCCGTACCTGTCATGTGCTTGGCAAGTCGAGCAAGAGAGTTCTTTTTCATTCTTTCTTTCTTTTTTTTTTTCCACTGCCTTCCCCACCCCATCAAATTGTAGTTGCAGCCTCTCATTTTTCTGCTGCCTAGATGATTAAAAACCATGACTTAGTGGAAAAATGCTGACCTCCTCTGGGTCAGCCTCTTAAGCAGCTGCCGGAGATAAGATTGCGCTGGAAAAGACTCAGAAACACTTTTGCAAGGCTTTCTGTCTTTTCCCGGAGAAACAAAGGAGGCTGTTTTGGTGCAGGGTGTGTTCTGTTGTTGTTTATTTTTGGAGAGAGCTACAGTTCTCAGTGGCACAAATCTGTGTGATCTGATAATAAAAGAAACTCTCCGATGGAAGGAGTATAGCAATTATTATAGTTATTTTTACAAATACCATAACTCATAAAATAACATTTTCTCTTTAATGGTTCCTTCTTTGAGTAGGTCATAGTGCGAAAGGTCTCTGGCAACTACCACAGTATCAGACGTCTAATGCTCAGATTGCGCCTGTGGACTTAAAAGATTTGACTGTGTGGAGCTCTTGGTATGAAAGCCATTGACGGATATTGTTTTCATGACTGTGTTAGAAGGATGGCTTCACCCTTGGAGAGTGGAAACTAACTCTATGCCTAAGTGGAGGTGGGGGGGGTCACTGCAAAGAAGACATTGCTATTTGAATTTTGCTTCAGTCCTCAAAGCATTGTATCACTTCTGTGTTGGCCAAGAACTTGGACCCATCTTGTGTGATAAGAAGGCCACTTCATTTCTCTAGAAGAGAAACTGGGGGTGGGGTGGGGTGCGGTGGAGCTTGAGAGGCCTTGACAGGGATCACACAATAGATGTCAAGGGGATAATAAGAATCCAGATTCGGTGCCACAGCCCTGTGTCCTCACATGAATGGACACCTGGGTCTTTTAGACATGTGGGTCCAGGAGCAGCTGATTTCTAGGAATGTAGCCTTCATTGTTTTGCTCTTAGGAATGTACCACTACCTACTTTATACTGTTATCATGGAGACAGCAGCCCTGCTCAGTTGCGGCCTCATTCATCATCAGCATTGTCTTCGATACATCATCAGAATCGCTTTTCTAGCTCATGGTAAAGTCAGTTGTTCTGCTTCTGCTGGCCTGGGCTGCCTGAATCCTTTGTGATATTCTGTGGCTTGAGAGATCATGTGTACTCTAGGTGTATCCTACCTAGTTCAGACTAGCTCTGCCTTTTGACCTTCAGAGTCCCAGACGCTTGCTAACCCTGGGGTGGTAGTGATGTCTCAGTGAAGTCATATCTGATAGAGCTTTGTAAACTGAAAGGTGCTTTCTCCTCTTTGGGGAGCACCTGCATCATACCTCAGAGCTCATGCTTGGAGGAAGATGCCTCATGACCTCACCTTCAGGAAGGGATTCAGCTCCAATAGAAGTGAGTAAAGGCCCCCAAACCTAGCTGATCACTTCCTGCTCACTCTTGTTAATGTGAACCAGCCACCAAGTCCAAGGGCAAACATCTGAGCTCGTGGCATGACAGGACATGGTGGCCAGTTTCTCCGGGCCTCCCTGACCCGCCTGGGTCCAGCCCCTCCCTGGTTTGTTTTCCTTCTGGCAGCTATTATGATACTTTTTATGAGCCCTTTTAAGTCTTTAATGATGCGTACTCCTGCAGCTGGCTTAAAGCTTAATCCCAAGCAATAGGCCTTTATTGGATAAATGGTTAATAATCACTGGTCTGGAGGGATTGGGACGATTTGTGAGGTCCATGATTCTCAGAAGCCCCATGTGGGATTCTGAGTGTATACAGGAGATCAGACACCCTAGGAGTACCTCGCTGGGTGGGATAAGCATTTCTTCACCCTCTGAGTACAGCAAAACAGGCATCTTCCCAGGATTTCTCCCAATGCCTGTTTCCATCCACTTGAATTTGAACAGACTGTGTGACCTTCAGTGAAGTCTCCTTTCCCCTCTGGGGCCTGGGTTGCCTGTCTGTCAGATAGAGAAGTGGGAAGAGATGGCCTTGAAGGTGCCAAGTGTCAGTGATCTGGTGAGCCCCAGATTTCCCAGACCAAAGCTCCTCTCCCCTCTTGGGTGTGTCACTGAAAGCTATGAATGGCAAGGGACCAGCAGCTCAGTGGATTAAGTGCTTAGCTACTGGGCAAAGAATTGGGTCAGCTGTAGTCCCAGGGCAGTATGTGCAAAGGGAAGCCAGACTTGGCCCCTAGTTTTATAGCCTGGCACGGTGTTGTGGTCAGCACCGGGAAGAACGCACCTAAGTAGACTGGAGACTCTTCCATGGGCCTCTGGGAGGAGATTCAAGTCTTCCAGGTGTACGGATGGCAGGAAGCCGGAGGTTTCTCACAGGTGAAAAGGGAAGGCACTGTGGATGCTTTTCCCAGCTAGCTTGTGACTGGAGGCCTTGCCTTGATCTGGATTTGGCTTAGACTTGGCAGTTGTAGTGAGATCCAAAAGGGTAGGTGACATGGGAGCATGGGAGCCAGCGCACCTGAGTGTGAGCCTTAGTCGCTCTGTTCAGGCTAATGGGCCTAGACAGCGACTTCGCCCAAGCCTGGGACTTTTAACATAACACGAGCAATACTTGTTTTTGATTGTGTTGGTTTAAAATGGTGAACGATCTGGTTGTTTATTTCTTCTAGACACCAATAATTACTCTGGCAGGAACGTCATGTTTTAGTGTCTTCTGGATGATGTGGATCACAGGCATTGAGTGCTTGCTTATTCCAAAGCAAAGACTGGCATACTTGTTTTTATTATTATTCTTTTACCTAGAAGTAAGACACTAGAAGCAGAGTTACACCCACCCTTTTGTTCAGTGGTATGGTTCACAAATTTTTAGCTTCAAGATTAAAAAAAAAATCTGGCTGAGAGATAGTTTTCCCTAGAATGTACTCCCCTGGATTCTGTCTTACACCCACAGTGTCGAGAAGGCAGAACATAATCCTTGGAAGACAGCCAGTACTCTCTCTCTCTCTCTCTCTCTCTCTCCCTCTCTCTCTCTCTCTCTCTCTCTCTCTCTCTCTCTCTCTCTCTCTCTCTCTCTCTCTGTGTGTGTGTGTGTGTGTGTGTGTATGTGTGTAAGGAAACACAAGTTTCTCTTTCAGATATACATATGACCAGATGTCTGCTTTGCTCTTTAAAATTTCAGATCTTTCCCGACCCATCAGATTTTGACCGTTGCTGCAAACTGAAGGACCGCCTGCCCTCCATAGTGGTGGAACCCACAGAAGGGGAGGTGGAGAGCGGGGAGCTCCGGTGGCCCCCTGAGGAATTCCTGGTCCAGGAGGATGAGCAAGACAACTGTGAAGAGACAACAAAAGAAAAGAAGGACCAGTAGAGTCCCTGCAGGCTCGCCTGGGTCATGCTAGCCAGCATATCTGAACTGTTTTTCCCATGGTGATGGAAGAAGAGAGTGAGCCACAGTCATTCTGAAAATGTCAAATGAGGCTTCCGTTTTGCACCTGAAAATCACCGAGTCGGTTTTCTTTTCTTTCTTTCTTTCTTTTTTTTTTTTAATTCGTTGAGCAATGGAGCCCTCTGACAACTTGCAAGGCTGAGAAAGGAAGCTGCTGAGAACGGGTGGGGGTGGGGAGGGAAGGGGTGCTGCTTCTAAGATCCCTTATCTGAACTCTCCTGCCAGAGGCAGTGCGCATGTGTGTATGGGAGGCGGGGCGGTTCTGGCTGAAGGGGTGAGCAAATGAGCAAGAAATATTTTAGATTAAAACAACAACAACAAAACAAAACAAACCCCACACTTTTAAAGAGAACTATAGCCAGGAAGTGCTGCTCGCCAGCATTTGCTCTGGCTAACAGGCTTCTGACAACCAAGTCTTTCATCTCCTGCTCTGTTGCTCACAGCCATCAGCCTTTGCTTTCATTTCAAGTGTGTTTGGTCACCCACAGAGATACAGGGCCAGGAGACCCGGCCTAGAAAGCCATCAGCTAGAGGGATGCACAGGAAAGGAAGATCCCACCTGTCCTTCTGCAGATTTTGCCGCAGTTGCTTCAGGTTCTCAGCGCCCCCAGGGGCCCGGAAGGCTTTAAGGCATAGTGCTTTTGAGTTTTCCCCCCTATTTACCCCTTTTTGCCTCCTGGTATATAGGGGGAACAGCCAGAGCACTTCCTGCCCTTGTGGGGCATTCCAAGGCTGCAGGCTGAACAGGGAGCGCCTCCTCCCACTGTGGGTCTCCCAAGAATTCTTATGTAGTCTCCAAGGAGCAGAAGGGTGGAAGAGTCAGATCTCCCAGGCCTGCCCTTCCTTCTTTTTTGGCCACAGCAGTCAGGTGGACGGTCCCTAGCTCTGCTGTGGCCCGACATCATCCATCTGACCCGCAGCAGGACCATTCCAATGGGGTTCCCAGTCTGGGTTCCACGGACACTAAAAGCAGAAGGTGCTTCCTGGTTGGGAAGTTGGCTAGTGGGCTACCATGTAGGACCCTGGGTGGTGCTGCATTGATCTGCTGAGGCTCCCGTGTGGGTACCAGGCCTCCAGTGGAGCAGCTGTGGGATCCAGTTTGAGACAGTAGCTGTGAGATCACTGCTTCTCCTCATGGTGCTCCTGAGCACAGGTTGGGAGAAGAAATGGGGTGCACTGGGGTATCCTGTAGAATAGCAGCCTTTATTCCTTTACCACTTCCCCTGTCTCTGGAAAGGGCAGCAGTTGCATGAGGAAATTAACATCTGGACTTAGCCTCTGATCGTAGCTCAGAACCTTCTGGAATAGCGGGTTAGCGGACAGAATTTTTAGAGCAGCGCTGTTTGGTCAAGAGGTGGACTTAAAGCCTTCCTTGGACTTCGCGTAGCCCGCTGAGGCACTCACAATGTCCCCTCACGTCTCTGTTAGTCCAGGTTGACCCCCATCTTTGGACTAGTGTGTCTGGCTCTATTTAATACCTCAAAGTCAGTGTGGCTCTGGGGCACGTTGGGGCAAGAGCGTGGGGGTGTGCTGTTGACACGGCATTCAGCAAGGTTTGGTTCTGGGATGCCGATGGTCACCCTCCTCCCCCTGCCTCTTCCCTCTGTCGTCTGCCTGTGATACACACCGATGGCAATAACTTTTTTCTGGCTCCTTGCAGAAGTGGGAGAGGGCTGCGGCCAACCCCACAATGGGGGAGTTTCTCTCTCTTGCTTCCACTCTGCTCTGTTTTGGCTACAGAGATCTGTTCATCCCCCCCTCCACTCCCCCCCTCCCGCAGCATTTCTCATCCCTCGCCTCCCTTTATGGACAGGTGTCTGGGCTTTTAAATTCCTGTGTTTTGGTGTCTTCTCACCCCTGCCCCAGTTATCTGTCTTGGTCTTGCCGTGTGATGGGATGTGCTTGTAAATCCAGTATCAAATCAGCTTTGTGTATATGTGTGTCTATGGGGTGGCTTCTTCCTTTTGCTGGTCACTAGACCACGTTGTACAACCGTGTGCTGTCTGAGCAGGTCAGGGGCTGACAGCTAACGTCAGGACCCTCAGCGGTTGAGGCTGTTGGGGGAACACAGCTGCTCTTGGACAAGTGGCTGAGCTCCTGCCTGGCCTCCTCTCCTTCTTCTCCTCTTCCACCTCTTTCTTTAAGTAATTTGTGTGTATTTCTAACTGATCGTATTGAAAAAAAAATCCTAGTATTTCAGTGACATGCCTGTCGTGAGATGAACCTCCTGTGACTTCTGTCTGTTCTGTATTGAGGCTCAGGGAGAAACTAGCATTTTTTTTTCCAAACTACTTTTTGTCACTGTGACAGTTGTAAATAAAGTTTGAAAATGCTTTCCATTTTGGTTTGAGTTCCTTTTTTTCCCCCGAATTACGTTGGATGGATGGGATGGATTCAGCTCACAAATAAGCGGACTCAGGCAGGAGAGGTATCCCACACGTCTCTGTTGCTGGCCCCTTACACTAACTGTTCATGGGGAGACATGAAGAAAAACCCATTCATCCAAGTCCAACATGGTGAACTGATGAATTTATTGTTTTTAAAAATAGAAACATGGTAACTCTAAAGTAGACATATCACTGAAAAGCCTCACCTTAGCCTGAATGACAACTTCCCCACAGTTGAATAAATTTAGTGCCCTCCTTGTTTAGCTTTCCACCCTGTGTATACTCTAATACCTCCAGAGACCACACACAGCTGGGATAGAATTACAGAAAACTGGGAAGGATCCACAGGAGTGGGAGAGTGGCTGGTAAGGGTATAATGGCCCTCCTTGGTCTCTCCCTCTGTGAGGAACATCAAAAAGCCTGACCTTGAGGGTCTCTGTGTGTGACCACAACTGCTCTGGTGAAGGTGTGGGTGGCGCTACACTTAGCAGATACCATTCCAGAACTTGGCTTTCTTATTCCACGAGAGTCTGTCTAACAAATGGTTGAATGGAAACAGCCTTTCTTCAGTGTTAGTGGTTCTCAATTCCTGATGTATATCAGAACTCTGTGGTCCCAGCCATCCATGAGTGCCCACTGCTTGTGAGACAGAAGGGGAAGCAGTGACCCAGGTTCTTACAATAGTCACCATGTTAGTGTCAAGTGATAAGCCCAAATTCAAGGTGAGGAAGGGGCGGGGTGCTCTGAGACTGATTGATTATCAGTTCAGTGGGAACATTAGGAAGGGCCTCAGGAGACCTGATGAGGAGTTGGTTGGCATATGAGTACCCAAGAGAGGAAAGACTTAATGTGTGGAAGAAAGCTGCACAGAGAGGCTTGGAAAGAATTTGACCAGGATAGATGGAAATAAATAATGTGCCAAGGAGTACTCAGGGATGGGGAAGTTTGGATTTCATTCCTAGTGGAGGAGCCACATTTTGACATACATTTTGACTCAGAGGGAGGAGGCAAGGTAAGACTCTCAGAGACCAGCAAAGGCTTTGTGGATGTCAGAGGGAAAGAAGGTAGTGCTCTGGAGAAGGAATCTTTGAGTGTTTTCCACCCCTAGGCTTCACTAAGCCCTCATTTAGACTCCAAACAATGGCAAGTAGAGATAATCACGTGACCTGTGCTGATGTCCAACATCCATTGGAGTATCAATCCATACAAGTGTTAGCCATAATGAAGTTACCAGACCCATGCATCTGTTAGCCTGAGAGTAACTTGAGAAATTCATCTGTCTCCGTGGTAGTCTGTCCTTCTATTTCTCCCCAATATTTTGAAGAGTTCGTATAATGCGGACTTCCTGAACACAAACTCTGAAAACTTTCTCTTTACTTGTATAGGACATTTATATGGAAAATATATGTGAAAGTACAAAAAATGAGAGAGAATTGATGTGATTTTTGCATGGCTGCAGCACCTAAACCCAACATATACAAACGTACTGGATTTTCATGAAGTAATAAGCAACTGGAAATTGAAACGTAAATAACATAACATACTAGCATATAAAATATATCACTTAGAGATAAATGTTAGGTATATAAAAACATGGGCAACAAAGTCTACAAACCAGAGAAACTAGAGAAGACATACAAAAATGAGAGCTATACCATGTTCATGGACTTGAAGACTTGATGTCATTAAGTCTGTGCTTTCTTGATTCGTTTATAGATTCAAAGCAATCAAAAACCTCAAGAAAACTGTTTTAGGAACAACTGATTATCCGATGCTAAAATTTCTACAACATTGCAAAAGACCCAGAAGGGCCAAAGCAATATTGGAAGAGAAACTAGAACTTGTAGTTCTTCGTTTCAAAACTTACCACAGAGCAACAGCCACCAAAACAGCAGTGTTTGCATTGAGATAAACAGATGGATTAATAAGACAGAACGGAGTCCAGAAATAACCAGACATAGGCCAATTGATTTTTTTTTTCACAAAAGTTCTAAGGTGACTCAGTGGAGCATAATAGTCTCCTCAGCAACTATGCTGCCAGTGGCCTTCCAAAGGCCACTAGCTTCTAGTCACAGAACCCCAACTCTTCTCTTCCACCTCATGTGACCTTCTGACAGAAGGATTCTTTGTTTGCAAATAGCTCCTTCATCTTTTCCCGTGGCTGGCCTATCAACACTGTCCGACTTTTCAAACCTCCTAATGGAGGCGCATGGAGTGGTGACTGGTGAGCTTGGCTGTGTTACACGGGCTGATATAATTTGGCTCCTTCATTTGTACTTCGGGCCAATTTCTTACTGTCTAGACTCCTCAGTATTCTTGTCTGAGGACCGGAGATAAGACAGGCAGCTCTTGCATGGGAGTGTGAAGACTAAAATACTTAGCTGGCCTCCACAGTCGGGAGTTTCTCTATCCTCTTTTTAAAGATCCTGAGGCTAATGAGTAGCTCCTGTCTTCTGGGCCCTGCTTTATTACTCTGGCTCCTTTGTGCACAGGGTTTAAAAGTAACCTCACAGCACAATGTTCCTCTCCCTTCAAGGGCAGCTCCCACTCTGGCACCTTTCTTTCATCATCCTGAGATTGGAAAAAGTAAAGAGAAGCAGGGAAATGTCATGCTTTATTATCCAGTATCTTGGCAGATGTCACATTGCATGAACAACTCAAGGCAGTGCATGCCTGTAGTTACAGAATCAAGAGAATCAGACATTCAAGGTCAGCCTTAGGCTATGCAACTACTGTTGGCTGAATCTGGTCTGATCAGAAGAGAAAAATGGAGGGGAGGGATATAGCAAGTAGAAAGGCCCTGTAGTAGTTTGCCTTGGCATTTTTGAGACATGTCTGTAAGTACAGAGACATGGCAGAAGAAGAAGACAAGTGGCTCAGGTCAAACACCACATGTAGTACCTGTGGGTCCTAGAGGCTATGGACCGGTTCATTTAGAGTTGTATGACCCTCTGTGAACAGTGCTCATGGAAAGGAACAGCAGCAACAGGCAACTGTAGACATCTACAGGTCTGCCCATCCAAAACTGTCCAGACCAGTTACATATGCTGGCAATATGGGTAGACCCGAGAAACTTCCCATCCTAAAAGATCTTCCAAGCAGAATGCAACCAAATGGAATCCAGTTGTTCATCCATCCCTAAGTAACTCTGACTACGGCAAGAAAGGAAGCTCTATGCTAAGACTGCTGGATTTTTAGCTCAGCCCTTTCCTCTTTCAAGCTCTGTGACCTTAATCTAATTCCCATTGCTTCTCTTTGCTTCATTTTCTCCATTTCTAAACCATTGTGGATGATGGCTGTGAGGAGCTTAAACGTGTTACTAAGAGTAGCTTGCTTAGCACTGCAGCAGACCCTAAATAAATGCTCAAGAGATGTTAGCTATCAAACAATGTTCCAAACTCCACACATACCTACGTCCTGATCTCAGGGCTTGTGAATATGTTATATTATATGGCGGGGGGGGGGGGTGGGTTAAGGTTGTAGATGGAAGAAAGGTTGTTAATCAGCTGACCTACATCTGATGATCCTGGTTTATCTAAGTAAGTCCACTCTTAAGTATAAGGGTCCTTGCACTGAAAGAGAGAGAGGAGGGCTGGGAAGATGGCTCAATCAGTGAAGTGCTTGCTTTCTATGCACAAGGGCTCGACTTTGATCTCTAGGATCCATTTACGAAAAAGCTGGGAATAAAAATTGATCATACCCCTCCCACAAGGCTCAGGGACCACTTCAGAAAAAGGGGCAGAAACACTGTAAGAGACAGATGTAGAGAAGGACCTGAGCCAACCTGTATCTTCTAGACATGACTTCTGTACTAGTGAACTCACAATGGCTGTGGCTGTCTGCATGAGCTCCAGCTGGCCAGTACTCTAGCACTGGCCAGGGAGTGGATCGTGAACCCCAACCCTTAGCTTAGAAGCTATTGACAGTTGATGATTTCTGGAGGAAAAGAAGAAAGAAGAAAAAAGAGGAGGAAGATGAGAAGGAGATGAAGATGAAGTTGGAAGATAGTGGGTAGAAATGAGTAGATCTGGAGGAGTTAGGGGATAATTGGAAGTAAATACAATCAAAATGGTTTATATGCATGTATGAAATTCTCAAAGTAATGAAATCTATATTTTAAGGTGGGTATACTTGTACATTCGTTATTCCAGTGACTGAGAGGCAGATGCAGGCAGATCCTTTGACCTCTAGAACTGTAAGAGGAGAGTAAGTTTATCTTGTTTAAGGTACTGATGCTATAACCCTGTCACAGTCGCAACTGTAAAGTAACACATCCCCATTCATCCTCAGAGTGGGGTAACAATGTTAGGGACCGTGTCTGTGATCTCCGACAGCAACAAATGGACGGACGCCCCAACTTTGACAGGCTCAATGTCTCTGTCTCTAAGCAGAGACATCTGTCCTGTGGATAGGCCATCAGGACCTAGGATTGGATTGCTGTGGAGACCATAAAGCCTTTGCACTAGACACTTCCGATCAGTGCCTCACAACACTCATTCAATTGACTCTCCTTCTCTCTTGGTACCTGCATGGAAGGCTTACATTGAACAGCCATTGATTTGCAATGTTTCCTTGCCATTTGCTGCCAAAGAAAAACCAACTAAACAAAACAAACTTACGCTTCTCTCTGTCTGGCTCCCATTTACAGAGCTCTGGCCTCCCTCCATTCCTCCTGTCTCTGACCACACTTCTGAAAATTGTGGCTTTTCATATAAGACATAATCTTGTTTCACATAACTAGCTATGGTGGAGATTATAAACAGCAGTGGACTTCATCTTTCAAATCCCATTGGGCAGCAAATAGATTACTGGCATTTTGTTATTTTTCTCCCATAAAGAGGGCATTTTCAATCAACGAGGAAGCTGACGCCAGAGAGCTTCATAATACACTGTGTTTGCAACCAAAAAAACAAGTCATACTAGAATCAATTATATACTAGTAAATATGTTAA